CTCAGGGCACAAACGCACTGCCCTAACCACTAGGCCATCACTTCCTTATAGCAAAGGTAAATAGTCTGACAGTATGTCAGGGCGACAAACCCTGTTAATAATAGATCTACATCTCCGTTCATTGGAAATCATTAATTCCATCATATTAATTCAGTAACCTGGGAGGTCGTGGTGCAGTAGTTGAGTTCCGCTGCACGTTTCCTCTGTTGGACCTTAGAGCATCTAACCTGATAAGCATCTACAGTCCAGGTTCTGACAACACAATCAGACAAATGTAAAACCCTTAGAGGTGTCCTGATATAACTTTTGCATTTCCGACACAGATATTGGAGCTTTGAGAATTGGTCGATACTGCTATTGATCTGATACAATATTAGCACAAATCATAACAGCTTTTATTACTCATGTTATACTGAAGGATGCTAGAAAAGGCTTGATCAAGTAATATTAGTAAAGCAAACAAAAGGCAAGAAAACAACTGATCCAAGTAGATTGAATGAGTTAGAGAAACTTTAACAGAGCAGAGTATTTCTATCGGCATGAAAATAATGAGGTTTTAGATGCTGGTTGATAAAGAAACAATATTACTTTTTTAGAATAGAAAATCTCTTTATTGTCCAACAACGGGCAAATTCTGGTGTTTACAACAGCAAAAAGGATTGTGGAAAAAAATAGTCACACAAAAGTGGACCTTAGAAAAATTGATAATAACATGAGACATCCCTAAAACAATAATCAAGCTAAAATTGGCTTAAAGAAGGTACTTGGCCAAAGGCTAAATCCACATCATGCTAAAATGCTGAAGGAAACAACACAACAAAAGGAATCATTTCCAAATGAGATCCCCAAAGGTAGAGCATCTTCTTTGATTAAATTGTTGATTCTACAAAAGGTTATAGAAGAGCATGTTCGGAAATGTAGACATTTTCCACACATTGTCAAAAGCAAAAAACTAAGATTTAGTTGTGATTCTATATGATCCTCATTAACACAGGGCTGCATTATTATAAGGTGGAAGGAAAATGTAAATAAACTCATCAGTTTACAAAGAAAAATCTGAAAAGGCGTGTTGTGCATTCGTCTTTATACGACAAACACTTCTACCTTCCAGCTCACCAGTCAGCTAGCTGGTAAATACCATCAGCTGGGGTCTCATTTAATCACACTATAAATGCAGCTTTCTGGAAAGTTTGAACCAGGGTGTAATAGGGCAGGACAAAACAGATGTTATGATGATAGATTCTGTCCATATTAGACAAAAAAACATAATTTATATTTTTATATATAATGGTTAGTTGCAGCCCGAATATCAGGCTTTACTTGAATCTATAAATCTCAGATATCAGCAAGCTGATAGACAAAATGCACTTCTGCCTGTTTCTGTTTAATTATAGCCAACCTGCTGGTTAATAATCATCCCCTATTTTAATAACTAAGTTTATTTATTACTGATCTATGTTTAAGTGGTCGAGCCTATTCCAACATTCCACTCTACAAAATAAGTAATAGAAGAAGGAATGATTCATGTTGATAATGTTTCAGGTAAAAGTCGGCCGATAATCAAATCTGCAACATCTGCGTCACATCAGGACTGAAAATTTGCATTAGGGCTGAACCATGAAATGGGCCTCATTATATAAACATATGAATTAAGAAAATGTCATCTTTAAAAATACCTTTATGAATATTACAGAGGTATAGTTCATATCTGTAGGGAAAATATTTTACAGTTATGAACTTCCTCAATATAATCAAACTCATTTAGCCATTTTGCTTTAGCTCCAAGCTAAACGGATGAAATGAACATTTAACCAGGTGATCGTCTCCATCATATTCCACTGCTTCTTAGTTTTTTTTAGTTTCTCTCATTGCCTTCTTTCCTTTTCAATGTTTCTAATTCACGTTATGGCAAACCAAGCTAAGCCTGAATGTTTTTGTTCACCAAGTTGGTAAAAAATATGCAGCTCTGAAAATACAAACTTAAGGCTGATTTATACTTCGAAAATAGGTCGTCTGCGTAGGTGTCGCAATGAACAAAAAGACGTCACTGCCCCTTCCGCAGACACTCTTCTGCACCTCTCCCAAAGTGTAGGTGATCGCAGACAGGAGGCCGGCTTGGTTTTGTTTTTATGACCGAAATTGCGGAAAACAACTCGTGAAGTTTGACCCGCTAGAAGAATGAGTTATGCGAGAACGCTGGGACCCTTTTTCCACGTGGATCTCCGCTCTTTTTGGCCCTCATGTCATGTCCCTCCGTCGTCGGACAATCTCGCCCCCACTACCTCACCGTCTCGGCCGTATCTAGACCCACAGCGTGTAGCGCAGACCACGCTTCAATACTGGACATAAATCAAAAATTTCTGCGTCAAGCTCACTGCGACACACTGCTGCAGGAGTATAACCAGCCCTCAAAGGTCCCCAGATAATATCAGATCAGACAATATCTTCTGAAAAGATATATATATATATATAAAATAATAAGTCCTTATTTGAGCAGGAAAGCAAGATATTGCAAAGAGTATTTTACCTTTAAAGGTATTGTACACATTCATAACCCTGTGGCTGCTCCTGAGTGGGAACGCCTATTAAACATGTGCGAGAGCGTGCACAAGACCATTTGTCCTTTAAAAGAAAGTTTAAAAGATGCAGTTTGCATCACTCATGCAAGCTTACTTTCCAAGTACGCTACGGAACCAAACCAGATGAAAGTGCGCATTCAGCTCGGCAAAGAACTCATGCTCTTCCTCAACACTGAAGTCCTCAGACATTTTTCTTTCGTTGTTTCTTTCTTTGCACAGGTAAACAGCACATTTCTTCTTCTACGCTTGCATTATCGGCAGAGCAGACGCTGAATGCGCACTTTCATCTGGTTTGGTCTGCCGGCTTCCGTAGCGTCGTAAACGCGCAGGCGCGCGCTTTCAGGAAATCCTATACACTACTGTTTATGCTCTAAAAACATTCTAAATGACTTCGTTTCGAGTAAATTCTGGATGCTACCCACTCAGGACACTTGGAATACATTGGACGAGCAGTATGGAGGAATATTGACACGTTTTTTGTGGACTTTTATGGACCTTTCTGTCTCGGGTACCATAGACCTCAATTATTTGAATGTCAGCAGACAGCAAGAAGCCTCCCAGATCTCCAGATGCATTTGAGATTTAAAAAAAGTACTCCAGAGTGTTGTTCAGCATGGGGTGAGTAGAAAATGAAGGCTAATCATGTTTTGGGTGTACTATTCCTTTAAATAAAAGGAAAATACATCTTTTTAAGAAAAAATGGCTTATATTGTTTTTACATATATAACATATACAATCGACACATTTTGCATTTAGAAAAGAGTCCAAACCCAGATTCCACTTCCTCCATCACCGCACGGCTCCGCCCACATATGTTGTGCGGAGCACCTGTGCAGTCATGTTAATCAATGAGGCCAGTTCCACATACACCACTACTCCTCCACACATCACCGCCTACGTACGTCTTCTCCGTCCTTCACCGTCAAAAATAGGAGCAGAGCTGTTGCTCCGCTCAGGACAAGAGGCGCAACTGCAACCGCATCAGGAAAAGGAACGTCGAAAAGATCCGATTTTTTACTGATGGTAGCGTAATTCTTATATATACCCAAAAATTAGGCCAGTTGGATGCAAACATAATGAACTAAGGTTTCGTCAAATCCAGTCATCATAACTTGCAAGAGCGCATCTCACAACTTCAAAACAAACTTCTTATCGCAGGCATGGATGAAGAGATGCAGAGTTTGGAAATAGAGAAAACAAGAAAGTTGTATGATCCTGATTATCTCTATTGCAAAGACCCACAACCAAAAGAAAATGTTTGGGCAGAAACATGTTAAATTGATGCTGATGGGATTTTTTTTTATATGTCATTAAATTAAGCAATCATTACTGCATGTTTTGCTCATATGAATTAAGAAATAATAATATTGCCCATGCTCTCCTCGAGCTCCAAGGGGCTCAGAGCAGAGCAAGATTAGGAGGGACCGGGGATGCTGTAGACTTTGCTTTGCACAGGCCGTCTGCAATGGAGTGGGGTGGTTACGAAGGATGTGGGATTTCAGGGTAAGGAAAGAGAAAGTGATCACCTTCATGACTCCATGAAAAATTCAAAATGAGAAAAAGTTTCCAAGCAGCGAGAAAGAGAACAGAGCAAATGTTAAAAAAGTTCCTCTAGCCAGACGAAACGAGAATTTGACTTTCTAAGCTACATGCAAAGCTGAGTGATGTAAAACTACCATTGCATGAATAGAACATCCATGGTGGCGGCAGCATCATGCTGTGGGAGGGTTTCCTACCTGCAGAGCAACAATGCAAATAAAGGAGGCAGAACAAAGCTCAGCTGTGGGTTAAAATGGAAGAGAGAAAGTCCATATTTTAAAGGAGAGCTGCTCTCCACCCAGTCTGAGGAAACTGAAGATGTTTTGCAAAAAAGACCACAAAAAAAAAGTTTTTTCCCTGGTAGAGACCAATCCCTAAACGCCTCAGAATGCCATCTCAGCGAATCCTGGTTCTACTTAACACTGACTCACTGCGGCTGAACAATCATTTCTTTCACTCCTCTTCACAAATACCTGCTACAGGGTGTTGGTGTGTTACAAGAAATCCAAATAAAGCACAACAACATTAGTGGTAACACTGAAAGGTTGTAGTGGTCAAGGTGCCAGAAGCAGGCCAGGAGTCAAAGTTTCCAGCTGTGATAGAAGGGAAGTAGTTTCATGCTCTGCAGAAATGTCCCATCGGATGCCAGAGGAGACAAACAGGAACTATAAGCAAAGATCTGCATTACTGACATGACTGGAGGCTGTTTGAAATCAAAGCTCAGGTTACAGGAACTTAGGATGACCAATCTACACACAACATCAGAGTGAAAGAATAAAACCAGGTAACAGTGAAGGCAGAATTTAAAAAAGAGATGCTTAAGTGGAAAGGTTAAAGTAAATGAATAATGTGTTTTATAGAGGGAACTATGCTCAGTCTCACCTCCTCGTCCCCCGTTCCTGGACGAGCCTCGATTCTGCGAGTCGTCCAAGTATCTCCCCACACATCCCCCCATGGCCGGAGCTCTGCTCTCCCTCTTTTTCTACGGATCCTTACTGGATGAGCAGGCGGCTCATCGCGGACCGGGGCGACGAACTAGGTCCGGAACGGATGGAGGCAGGTGGCAGGTAGACCGCTCCGAGCCTGGTTTAACATCCGGGTCTGTACCGCAGGGATCCAGTGAAGATTTCCCCAGACAGTTTCAGTCTTTCCTAAACTCAAACAACGAACCGTGTCTGCGTCATAAACAAACTTATATTCCAGCTAGCGCGGCTGCTGGAGTCACTTCTGAAACGCTCGCAACGTTCGCGCTAACAAGCTAACCAAGCTAACCAGTTAGCCACCGCAACATCAGTAAACACAAACTTTAGCAAAGCCACATTATTCCCCGCGCGCTGGGAGTCCTAGAAATGCAGAGGAAGGGATCTAGTTTGGCCCTGAAGTTCTGAGAGAAGAGGAGCAGCAGCCCCCAGCAGCTGTCCCCGAAGCAGCGCCTCTTTAAACTGGGAAAACATTTGTTCGCGCTGCTAAAAGGTGACTAGAAGCGGTGAGCTAATGCCTGCCAACATTTTACTCACGCATGCGCACATGCCGCGAGGCAGGTGGCTGCATTTAAAGGGAACTTCAACCACGACCCTAACGCTAGGGTTAGCCTAAAGACTAGCTGCTACTGCGAGAATAAAGTCTTCATGTTACGAGTCTTTATCTTACAAGAATAAAGTCGTTTAATTACGAAAATAAAGTCATGAAATTACAAGAGTAAAGTTTTTAAATTACAAAATTAAGTCGTAATATAACAATAAGAAAGTGGTATAATTACAAGAATAAAGTAATAAAATTAAAAGAATAAAGCTGTAAAGAGACAAGAATAAAGTTTTAAAATTACGAAAATAAAGTCGTAACTCTACGGAAATAAAGGCTTAAAATTATAGAATAAAGTCAAAGAATTACAAGAATGAAGTTGTAAAATTACAAAAAAAAGTCATAATATTACGAGAATGAAGTCGTAAAATTACAAGAATAAACTTGTAAAATTACAAAAATAAAGTCGTAACACTACAAGAATAAAGTTGTACAATTATGAATATAAAGTAGTAAAATTTCGAGAATAAAGTCAAAGAATTACAAGAATAAAGTTGTAAAATTACAAAAATAAATTAATAATATTACAAGAATAAAGTCGAAGTATTACGAGAATTAAGTCATAAAATTACAGGAATAAAGTTGCAAAATTACAAAAATAATGTCGTTACATAACGAAAATAAAGTTGTACAATTACAAAAATAAAATCGTAAAATTACAAGAATAAAGTCAAAGAATTACTAGAATATAGTTGTAAAATTACGAAAAAGTCGTAACAACACAAGAATAAAGTGGTAAAATTACAAGAATAAAGTTGTAAAATTCCAAAAATAAAGTTGTAATATTACAACAATAAAGTCATAATATTACGAGAATAAAGTCCTGATATTGCGAGAATAAAGTTGTATTTTTATGACAACTTTTACAAGAAGCACTGTCTTCCCTAAAATGAGGAATGTCGAGCATCCTTTAAAGTCATACTTTGGTATCGGTTTGACAAATAAGGAAATATTACATCCATTAATTTTATGACTGTATTCACGTTATATTACGACTTTAGTCTCGTAATTTTATGTCTTTATTCACATAATAATTTTATGACTTTATTCTCGCAATTTACGACTTTATTCTTGCAATTTTGCGACTTTATTCTCATAATTTTATTACTTTATTCTCATAATATCATGATTTTATTCTTGCAATTTTATGACTTTATTCTCATAATTTTACGACTTTATTCTCGTAATTTTATGACTTTATTCTTGTAATTTTTTTATTTATTCTCGAAATTAGAAAAAAATAAATCTCTAGCCTGGCCCCAATACTTGGTTGTAGTGATTGGATGGTCAACCACGCTGAAGTAAGTTATTTAAAAAAAAAAAATACTTATTTTATACACCGAATTTCAAACACTGAATTTCTTTACACATTGAGTTCCTTACACTGAATTTTTATCTTAAAAAAATTGTTCAGCAAAAAAATCAGCTGCAAAAAATTAAGCTGCAAGAAATGCAAATGTGTTGACCTTTTGCTGAACTCAAGCCAAAGCAATCTACACTCGATGCAGTCAAGCAGCTTCTAGCCTATGAAATTATCTCATTTTGTCAGAAAAAAAAGGGAATTTTGCCACAGGCCACATCCTTCGGTTCAAACCAAAAGCCTTGGCAGACCGGGTGTGGCACTGGCTGTGATCGTTATTTCACAGAGTCCCATTAGATTGAAAACTCTAATGGCTGTCTATTAGTAGCTACCTGACGTTTCGTAATCATATCTATTTAGCAAGAAAAACTCCTCATTCAGCTTCATTCAGCCGGGAACAGAGCTATACGCAACTGTTATGTCACGTGACCAAATTGAGCTCATTTCATTGGCTAGAAGCTGCTCCACTTTATGAGTGTAGATTGCTTTGGCTTGTGGTCAACACATTTGCAGCTAAATTTTTTGCAGGCAAATTTTTCACAGCTGAATATTTTGCAGCTGATTTTTTTCCCAGCTGAATATTTTGTATCTTATTTTTTTTTGTAGCTGATTTTTGTGCAGCTGAACTTTTTGCTGGCAAATTTTTCACAGCTGAATATATTGCAGCTGATTATTTTGCAGCTGAATTTTTCACAGCTGAATATTTTGTATCTAATTTTTTATTTTTTTTGCAGCTGATTTTTGTGCAGCAGAATTTTTTGCTGGCGAATTTTTCACTGCTGAATATTTTGCAGGCAAATTATTAACAGCTGAATTTCTTGCAGCTGAATATTTTGCAGCTGATTTTTTTGCAGCTAAATATTTTGGAGTGGAATTTTTGCAGGCAAATTTTTACCAAATATAAATTCAGTGTAAGGAATTGAATGTGTAAAAAAAAAATCAGTGTTTAAAAAAGGCATATTCTAATGAGACCGTTTTTCTTCCCTTAATGTGATACTTTGCATTCATACCTTTTTCCTTTAAAGAGACATGTAAGGAACAGGAAGTAAAACTTTTAGCGCATGCGCAGTCCCCGGAGGAACAGAGGCGCGATGGCTGCAGAGAGTCCTCCGCCGCTGCTGCTGTCTCTGGTGGATGAATTTGTCTCCGGTCTTCAGGACAGCAGGTCAAAGGATGCCGCCAAAGGTAAAGCAGCCTCCTGCTTCATCCACTCGATGTTAAAGCGAAGGAGTCGGTGTGAAAAGAAGCGGCTGTTGAGCTGCCATGTTAACTAGCTAACTTTAGCACCACAACATCCTGTGTGGTGAAGCAGCAGCAGCAGCAGCTCTGGAGACAAACTAAGAGGCTTTAAAGCGCCTCTTCTCTCCCATTTCTCTCTCATGTAAAACTTCAAAAACAGCTTAATTAGCTGCTGTCATGATGCCTGGAGTCGCTGCTCCGCCACGGTTTAAACCACATGCTGCTAGCTGCTCCTGGTGATGCGTTTGGGTCCGCCTGGGGGAAAAAAACTACCCTCTGGGATTACCTTTAAACCTGCTGATTCTGCGGGGATTTTACTGCGTAACCCACGCTTGTTTGTTTGAGTGGAGTTTGATGTTTTAAGCTACAGCTTAATAACGTTTTTTATTTATTTATTTTTTTTAAGGTGTCAAGGAAGGACAGTTTTCGGTCCTGCAGCTGGTGGAGGCACTGGGGTGAGCTTTGAGCACGTCATCCCACCATCACACCTCACTAATAAATGTGGTACAAGCTTAGAGCTTGATTTAACTAAAAAATATATAATATTTACTCTGCCCTCTGTTGTACGTGGATGTTTGCACACCTTCATGATTAGCAGCATTGTCATTAACTGGCAGTTTGCAAAGTAAATAGAAATCTATACTATATGCTGTTTGTCATGTTAAATAAGTTTAGGTTTTAGGATAATTTAAAACATTATAGTTGAACTGAAGAACAGAGGGGGTGTATTTGAAGGCAGCAGCAAAGACAGACTTCAGGGATATGAGGGGAAAATTTGAAATCAAAAGTCTGGATGTGCCGCGCTTCTCATCTCAAACATTTGCAAACATCACGTTGATCAGTTGTAGATGTGTTCAGTGCTGAAAGCTTAAATGTCACAGAAAGAAAGATAAAACTACCTTGGAAGATTACAGTTTGCAGATGAAGTCAGCAGGTCTGTTGGTTAAAGGATTGGTTTGTCGTAGCAGTGTGTCGTAGTGAGCTTGTCCCAGGTATGACGCAGATAGTTTTTATTTATTCCCAATTTTTAAGCGTGGTCTGCGCTGTTATTCCATGAACAACGCCAGAGGGACAATCGGGAACTAGCTGTGGGTCTAGATACGGCCGAGGCGGTGAGGAAGTGGGGGCGAGATTGTGCGACAACGGAGGGACATGAGGGCCAAAAAGAGCGGGGATCCAGGTGGAAAAAGGCTCCCAGCGTTCTCATGCACCTCGTTCCTCTAGCTGGTCCATCTTCACGAGTCATTTTCCACAATGGTGGTCATACAAATAAAACAAGCCGGTACCAAACAGGAAATACGCATAGAGTAGAGCGGATGTAGATTTGACCAATCAGAGGCCTCCTGTCTGCAGCACTGTCTGCGATCACCTATAATTTGGGAGAGGTGCAGCAGAGTGTTTGCAGAAGGGGGGGGGGCATATCAGCGGTCACATTGACACACACGCAGACGACCTGGTTTCTGAGCATAAATCAGCCTTAAACCTGGTTTATGCTCCCAGGTCGTCTGTTGTGGCGTGGATTAACAAAGCGCAGACCACGCGCCAATATTGAGAATAGATCAAAAATATCTGCGACAAGCTCACTGCGACACACTGCTGCGGGAGCCAATCATGTCGGCCAGCGTGATTTGTGTTCTGAAGAACTGAAGCAGGGTCCCTGTTACCTTTCACACCTAAGAATCAGTCATAGCTGTGAAGTACGGCGGTAGCAGACTCATGACATGTGGCTGTGGTCTTGTGGAACAAAACCCATCATTTTTTACTCTAAGTTTAATGAGACCATGCATTTATTTTCACTTGTATGTGTCCAATTTACAACACATAGTTGTTTAATATTAATGATTGAGATTTGAATAATTATTGATGGATGATTTATTAGATTAAATTTTGTTGATGGATTTGCTTTCAGTGTTGTAGTGTTGCTGTCCTCCAGTAGAGGGCACCCCTGTTCATTCTTAAGGGGACTTTAAATGGATTGGTTGCACTGTTTATTGGAAAACTCTATATTTAACTTTTCCTTCTTCCTGATGCAGGCAGAGCCTTACCAGTACTCAGCCCCACACTCGAGCCCGAGGCGTCCAGCTGCTGTCTGAAGTTTTACAGGAGAGCTACGCAGAGCTGACAGAGAGAGAAGGTAAACGCCGCCTGCCTTCACCCTTCCAGAACCGTTGGTGGGGGAGAAAACATTGGAAACTAGCCGCCCTGGTTTGTTAAAACACAACAAGTTGATGGAGTTTCACTTCTTTCACAGTGGAACTGCTCCTGGCCTTCTATGAAAACCGCCTGAAGGACCATTACGTCATCACGCCGCCTGTTCTACGAGGGCTTCAAGCGCTTGTAAGG